GGAAAGGGATCAGATACGGTGTCAGGTGAGAGCCTGTAATACAAATCCACAACTTTCTTCAGCCCATCGTGGTAAATTAGCCCATTCTGGAGTCCAGACCCTGATTGTAACAGGCTGCCAGTCCCCTGGAATGTGTAACAGAAGTCACTCAAACTCCATTGTGCAGGTTGTAAGCAATATGTTCGACTGCAATGGGCTAGCACATTAAGACAGATTCTTTTCACAGCTGTTTTTTGATACCCCAAGTGTTTGTTACACTACTCTCCATTTACTGTTTACTTTCTTTCCCTGGTAGAAATGGGGATTCCTCAGCCCAGCTGCCCCAGTTTCTCAGGCTGTTTGCTTTGACAGAAGTAATCAAGAGAGTACCCTAAGGGTATCGTTTCCAGTCTAAACTCACACTAGAACTGCTCTCTCCTGCAAGAATTAACAGCACAAGGACAGGGATGGATTCCCAGGCCCTGGGCTGACAGCAGCTAGGAACAGGCAGGATCCTCACCCACCACATCTGCAGGTGCTCTGATGCAGCAGCACTGGGCAGCACCTCTCATGCTCTTACAGCCACCAACCCATTCTCTCTTGGGCTATAAACAGGACTTGGCAAGGTACTAAACTTGCTTTAAGCAGAGCATTGACTCCAGCAAGCAAAAGTTACAGGGTCACCTCACTGATGAAGACAATGTTGATATTACATTATTGTATCACTCTAAGCACACACTCCATTAGAAGTGTGGTCCAGAAGTGTTGAACATAACCTCTGCTGACTTTACCTCACAAGCTACACTAGAAAAGCATCTTTATCCCTAACAACCCGTGCTGTGATGCACTTCATGATTTAACCTTAACATAGTTATGCCTCAGAGCTGCTAATGATAAACAAAGCCTTAATTCCTGCAACTGTTTCTGGATACCAGAAATGTTCCCAGTGCTAAATTTCATCACAACAAAATTAAACCTTATTCTTTCATGCATAAAAAGAAGCAAATAAAAACCTTGGTTGCTTTTTAGGTTACTTTTTTTTCTAAAGGTATAGCAAACAGTAGTGTTCAAAGTCTGAATAGTATATACTGTGGTGTCTACCCGCAAAATCAGCCCCATGGATGGCACATTACAACACACACAGGTACAGATCAGCTCCTGTGAGCTGTAAAACAGAGGATTCTCAGAAAATCAGACTATGCTTCAGTATTTTATTACTTAACAATTAGCTCATCTATACTCAAATTTTCAATTTTCTTTACTACAAGAAATTTCCAGCAGTCTTAATTCAAGTTTCTCAGGCACCCACACTAAGGTACCAAAGGAAATTTTACAATCAAGGCAGGAAGGAATCAAAAAATCAACAGCACACTCTGGTGGCCTTTGCATTTCAAGCTGCCAATAGAGGCTCAGTGGCACAAAGCATTTCAAATCCTACACAAAAATCTCTGGAGCTTTCCAAAACTGATAAAAATTACTTCCCATCAAATGACCTACAACAGATAATGGATAATTCCAAACGTGCAGAAACCTCCCGTACTTAGCTGAGTTACCTACAGAGGGATAGTACCATAAAAGAACAGAAAACCACATTGAAAGGGAGAACTTCTTTTTTGCAAGAAGGAGATTTTGTACTGAGAACAGAAAAAAAGGTCAGACCTCAATTCTTTCCTGCATTTGCTTCAAACACAACTTCAAGGTGTGCTCCTCTACCTTAGTATTGACAAAAACTGTTCTGTCACAGTGGTATGGGAAATGCATCTCACATTCAGCTCTGCTGCCTCACATTTCTTCTTCTGCTGCTTTTGCTTTAACAAACATTTACGTAAAAGCAATAAGATTCAAACAGCAAGAAAAGCAGAAAAAGCCTAGCAGAAAACTGCAGGAACAGCTGCATTTTTCTTTATCAGCTTCTTATGTGATACTTCTGCTAAGAAAAGTGATGACACAAAACAAAACCAAAACCAACACCGCCCAAAATGTAAATCTACCTTGGTAACACACATGATTTTACTTCTTAATCCTGTGCAGTATTTATGATTCATTTTTTGTTACAATTCAGAGCAATCATCAGCTCCTACTTTCTCCATGCTACTTTTTTTAAGGTGTAAAAAACACACACGTTAATACTAAAACCTTTCATTTGTTACAACAGAACAATGAATGGCAAGTTGCACAGAGTTTACAAACTGATGTCACAAAATTCCCATGGTCCTAGTTTCAAGTTCTTCCATCATGGCACAATCTGCTCTAAACTGGGATGTAACACAGATTTCGATCTGCTGTACAACTGCTGTCACACATGGATAGTTTACAGGCAGCACCTGTAAAATACTTGTTTCAAATTGCTCTTGAATTACCACTCTTGATGCAAATGACATTACTGCATGACTTACTGCCTGAGGAGAAAAAGCAGTGGGGTTTGCACTTTTTTCAGAGTGAACAGTCAGCTCTCCATTCTTCCTCTGATGATAAACTTCCAGAGCATCCACAAACTGCACTCCTTTGGCAGCACAGTGGCGTTTCCTCACCTGCTGGGGAAAAGAGTTCTGTGTACAAATGCACCGTAAAAAGGAACTTGTGAAAAGCTATAAAGTTTTAATTATAAAATTGAGTCACAACAACAACAAAAAAATCTGTAATTATTGCTGAGCTTTTCTGCTCTGCTTCTCCAGTGTTACAAAACTGATAGACATTATAATACTGTAGAGATAGAAGCAGAAAACTTGTAGAACTAAATCAGGAAATAAATTCAAGCCATATTGATGCAAAAATTTAAGCAAAAGTAATGAGCTGAGCCATGCTCTGCAGCAATGGAAAAGCTATTTGAGTGCACAGCTGAACACAAAGAACTCAGCCATGTGATGCCAACCTGACACAGAAGAAAACACACCTGAAACATTGCACCCCACAAATCAGGCCACAGATACCTGACAGCATGTAAACCAGGACTCTACACATTTGAATTTCTAATACACATTTGCACTTTCAAATCTAGAATCTCTTATTTTGGCTCAGTATTACAGATGAACTGGGGATAAATATATTTGGGGGAATACTACTTGTTTAAATGTGCAAGACACAGTTTAGGGCAGGGTGTGATGAGCAATTCAGTGCAACAGCGGACTCCTTTGTCACACAGGACAATAAAATGGACAAAAACCTGTCTGTGACTGTGACATGACTCCATTGTTCTCTACACCCTGACATTGACTGGTGTTTGACAGCTTGGCTGAGCTATGCCTGGACTGTTTTACTGCCAATAAACTGTGCTCACCTGCTGCTCTGTTTCCAAGGGACGAATCCTTTTCCTGTCTACTTGGAAATCATCATTGTCTCTGTCAAGTTGAAATAACTTCTTTTTGGCACACAATTTTGAAGCTAAGGTTTCATTTTCCTTACTCCCTGTAATCAAGAAAACGAAATGAATCTTCACTACTAGGAATAACCAAGGGCATTTAAATAAGCACATTAAATAAGGGAAACATTTTAAACCAGAATTGACTGTGAACACACAAGATGTAACCACCATCTCCACCCAGACTTCATGCAGGGCAGAATCATGTAGTAATCTGCTATTCTGATGGAAAAAACCATCCCTGATTGAAAGCAACAAAACTGACATCACTGACAATGTATTTGACATCCAGAACAGATCTCCAGCTGTGTCTGAAGTTACCTGTTTTTGGCAGTGAGCTTCCTGTTTCACAGCTATGAGAAGCAGCAGCACCATGATTCATGCTTGTTGCAGCCTCATTGCTCTTGGACTGGGAATGACATGTGCAGTGACATGGTGGGGAGGTCTCTGCCTTGCTGTCCTCCTTCTCACAGGATGAGGTAAGCAGGAATTTCTCTGAGGGACACAGACATTTGTCTTCAATTAAAAACTGCTCAAGATTCTACATGAGAATTAGACTTTCAGAACAGCAAAGATGAAGTCTCAGGTACCAGTTCAAGAAATGAAACACCTCTCTCTCCTTCAATGCAATCCACATAACTGCAGCTCACAGCATTTTCTTCCAAAGTTCCAACAGCCATGGAATTAATTCCCTCATGATATCTAAATCCACCTTTGTATCGCTGCCCATTACTGCCTTGTGTTGCCAATAAGGCAATAGGGATAATGGTGGACAAAGACCTGAAACCAACTGTTTAAAAGCTTATAAACAACATTTCAATATATTTTATTCTATTATGGATTTTGGTAATAAAAATTGTGCTAATAGGCACCAAGACAACTTACCATGCAGAGCTTGCTGCCAAGACAATGCAGAACAAAGCAATGCCAAGCTCTTGCCACTTCCTGTAGGGCTCTCCAGCAAGCAGTGCTGCCTGGTGTTTAAGCCCTTAACAATCTTTAAGAAGAACAAAACCAGAATTACCAGAAAACAATGCAGATGTCTACAGCCAAGCTTAGAAATAACATTAAAAAATGGGTCACTTGTCCCACAAAGTGTTTCAGAGTGGTTAACTCTAAAAATGTTTAAGTGTAATTGCAATGGTTAATTTTAAAAACTCTCCAAGAAGTCAGAACTTACTGAAATATTAGTACATATTATTATTCTGTTTAAAAGACAAACGTTTTACTGACTCATTCCTCCTTTAAATACTTGAAAGGTTATGCACAGCTTTTATTACAGTATGTCTAGACTTATAATCATATAAATTACACAACACATAACTTGTTTCTTAGCATAAACATTCACAAATCCAAAATGTATTTCACCATTCCCTACTCAAGGTCCAGATATTGTACAGCACAGAGAAAATAAGTTGTGACAACTAAAGCTCTCAAGCCAGTTGGAGGCTCTGAATTTGATAGATCAGTTTTCTGGATGCTGATAGATACTGGAACTCCAAACACTGTGAAACAGAAGCTGTTAGTGCAGCAAGTGTCAACATAAACCTACTCACAGCATTCATCATAGCCAGCTGGGAGGGGTAAGCCTTGCAGGGGAAGATGATTTTCACCCCCCCAATGGTATACTCTGCCCCCTCAGAAGACATTGCCTCTTCTTCCTCCTCTTACTGCAGGTTTAGAACTGCGATAAAAAATAGCATTAGCAAGTCAATGCTCCAACTAGACACAACCTGGAACAACATATAGCACAAAGAGAACCAAGGAGAAGCTCTTAACCTGGTAACAGGTCAGGATATTAACTGGAATCTAGGAATTCACATCACCTGTTCAGACTTGGTCCTGGTTGCAAATGAGAGTGAATTGTCACCAGCTAAGGAGCAACATCAGCAATTGAAATAAAACCATGATAAACTGCACACTCCATTTCAGATTCCACTAGTCAGACTAGAGATTGTTGGGATAAGAACTCAAATCCATGGGGGAAAAGTATTTTAGGATTCAATTCTGCAGGTCCAACAGCTTGAGCTCCAATACATTGTAAACTACAAGGGCAGAGCTGACAACAGCAACTTGCACCATTCATTTTATAACAATGAGAAATAAAACTGGACATTGACTTTAAAAATCAGATGTCTGAAAATACTTTTCTTGCACAAATAACACAGTAATTGCTCAGGGACAAATGAGGTTCATCTGCTTTACTGTTCTGTGATTATCACCTTGAATATTTTTCCCTCTGGAGAACAGATAATAGACAGAATAAAAAGTTCAAATTATTGAACTAAAAAGACAAGAGGCAGAGATGCCTTTAAGAGACATTTTTAAACAACATAGGGGTTTTTCTTTAAACAAGTTTTCAGCACTGACAAAGTAAAAGAGCAACTTAAAACCGACAAATTCCCTGTGAGAAATTAACTCACTAACCTGTGGCCTCAATCTGATTTCTAATGAGTGAACATACACACCCAAAATCACCCACACATGGCATGATTCAGCTCCATCACTGTTTCCAAACAGGACACAGCAATCCTAGCAAAAAGAGATTGCTGACGTGAGTTTCCACCCTACTCCTCCTTCCCAAAGGAAGGACCATCCCAGCAAAAGGCTTTTCCCAACACATCCCAAGGATGCATGCTTCAAGGATGCTCTGGGACACGAGAGGGACCCTTCAGGGTGTGGCTTGCTCTGCTGGGAGCACCTCTGGGCGCACTGGGGAGAACCACCAAGTTCTCCCCCAGTGACCATTAACCTGACACTGCTGGAACCCCCAAACCCTAAACCATATCCTGTTGGGCCAAGCCCAGAAGCTTCTTAAACACCTCCAGGGATGGAGACTCCACCACCTCCCTGGGCAGTGCTCCAGAGAGAGCAGCCCCACCGGCCACCTCAGCGCTGCTGTGGCTCCAGCCGCGGGCACGGCCAGG